CCTCTTTTCGCAAAGCCTGCAGTTCCGTATTTTGGGGGGTAGTGCCGCCTGCTCCGACGGCCCCGGAGGACCACGCAGACATAGATAAGTTGGTGTTTCCGAGTGGGGGAAAGGTTTCTTTGGTAGGGGACGTTGTCTTCTGAGGTGGTGGGCTTCGTCATTTTGTTGCAGGATTCCTCGCCTTGCACGATCCACTGCCTGTGAGGTGCCGGCCCCCACAGAGAATGCAGTTTGGGATACAAGGGGGAACATCTTGCCGGCCATGTTTGTCTCCGCATCGTGAGCAGATGTCACTCTTGGGGTGGAGGCACACGTCGTATTTGTGGCCCGGTCGGTGACAGTTTGTGCATGCATCTGGGCTCCCCCTGTACTGGGTGCACCTATACCTTACACTCGTGTAGCGTATGGTGTGAGGTACGGGTCCGTGTGCAAAGGTGATCAATATGGAGAGGGTCCTACCCATTCTGCGGGCAGCGATGGTATCAGCATCTGGGTTACGAGTCTGAAGGTCCTTTAGCATCTGCTCCGGAGTTTCCTCCCAGAAGGCTTGCGAGATGACGCGGCGCACTGCAACGGGTGGCAGCGCTATGTAGGCGACGACAAGATAGCTGGTCTTTCGGAGAACCAATTCCTTGTTGGACGAGGTGTAGGGCAGTTTTCCCATGACAGGTAGCCAACGTGAAGGTGTTATTCGTTGGGTGCATCCGGAGGTGAAGCTCTCCAAGGTCCCTGCCAGCTGCGGTTACCTGCAGAGCTTGCATGAATGGCTGCGCCATGGCTCGAATCAAGGCGAGTCCTCCTCTTGGTCGGAAAACGGCTCTTTAGTGCTGAGAGGGAGCAAAGGAAGTTGTTTACGTCGCAGCGCCACCGCCTGTGCTACTCGCAGTTGTTCTTGTTGAGCGTGATAGCTCAGCTTGAAAGACGCAAGGGCAGCGTCGGCCGGAGCACCTACAGGAGACCCGTTAGTTTTAGCGGGAACCGAGAATGTATGAGAGGGTAGAACCTGCGTTTGTGGACTTGGCTGTTCACCCCTATACGCACGGATTAGAGCAGTCCACTCGCTAAGTTCATGCGTTGCTGGGTCGCTGTCTTCGCCTTCCGCTTGTACTTCCATGGCTGTCGCGTCTGGATGCTGCAGGTGACAGGGCTGCCTCTGGCGAGGCGGCAGGAACGCGAGGAGCACTTCGCGGGACGTGGTAGCGTTTCTCGCAGACTCGAGAGCACCAGGCAACACGTCTGCTCTCTGCGAACGTTGGAGAGAGACTTTGTAGTTGTAGCAGTAGTAGTAGCAGTAAAAGTAGTAGTAGTAGTAGCCATCTTAGTAGTAGTAGGTCGCCACCTCCACGGCCGGACTAGAGGAGCGGCACGCGCGCACCTTTTGAATTGAGGAGGAAATCCACTCACGTTAATCACAAATAAAAAAAAAAGTTGTTTCTGATGAAATGACCTACAGAGACGAGTATCGGTGACCTAATCTCTAATAAAATTTGCCTTAAGCCTTTTCTAGTAAAAGGCACACACACATACTATTGATGTTTTGTTATAGTGCCTCAGATATGCGCAATAATTGATGCTTACTAAAAAAACCTAGTAACAGAAGGACGCACTTTCAGCACTAGCTGGCCAACAAGGGTTGCCACATTAAACTCGCTGGGCGTAACCTCCTTGGTTTTAGCAAGGTTTAGCGAAGGTTATGGTCCCTAGATGAAACAAGTTTCCAAGGTAGCACCACTCGTTGTTCTGGAGCCGTCCTCCTCACCCCACCTTTTCTATGCCATCCACGACTGTAATTAGTGCATTCTTTGCACGTGATCTTTCAAATGGCTGGCAGTGTTGTTTAGTATTATGCAAAATCTTCAAAACGAGTACGCATGCGCATATGGCTCCAGCCAGATTCTAGCAGTGACCAAAGACAAAATCGTCAAAACTGAAGAGGAGGAGCGTTTAATTGTGTTCCAAGCCGCCCAAGATTGTTTCGCGGTGCTCGCTCAATGCAACATTCGCGTTTTTCAACAATGCTGGGTTGCCGTAAAACAATAAAAAGTGGTTTTGCTCCCTTCAACTTGTCTTGTGCTATCCAAAATGAAGCACACCGTGAAGTGTAGCTATGAAACATTTCACGCGAACACTTTCGTGCAACTTCGTCTACATACGTCTGCGTGGATATGCGAAGCGAGTTTATTTGTCTGTTTCTATTGAAACGCCAGTCGTGCGTCTAATGCGGGTCTAGTGCATGCCAGTTGTTACAAATACTTTGCGTATTCACATATACAGAGCAGCTAGAGAGTGTAATCAAAGCACCTTCAGGAACATTTCACGCTTGACCAGTTGACGCGAGCGAAACACATATCGTTCATAAGTCTTGTTGCACTTGGGAATGCAGTAGTCTTCAAACGTTTAAAAAGCGTCATAGCCTTTAGCTTGCTCCGGCACCAGGTTCAGGGTACTGAATATTTCAATTGCTCCTTGGTCAGCGATGTGCAAAAAAATTGCAGCTTTCTACTCCTTACTGCATGGTTTAACGGGCTCTTTTTCTACGAGATACAACTCGATGTGTTGCTTGAATATCTTCCGGGATGCCACTGTGTTGTCACCCAATTGCAGTTGCTCGGGCGGCCGTAGTTCAGTAATGTTGGCATCCCACTTCCGACACCATGTATCGAGTATCTTGTAATGAGCATCTGCACACTGTTTTGACCTGGTTTATTGACACAAACGGATTGCTAGCATACAGTGTTGTCAGGGGTCGCTCTAGATGGTGCACAGTGTTGTCCTGTTGACTGCCCGTTTAAATTGTTTCATGTCTCTTTAAGAACTGAGCTGAGTCCAAATCCGGACCGGAGATTCAGGCCCGAGTACGGACCCTCAATGAAAACTATTTTGGCAGGGCAGACCCGTATTTCCGAGTAGGCCCGAGCCTGTGCAGGGCTCTAGTCTGTAGCGCTCTTCCGTAGTGCTATAGAGGCTGTGGCGATTGCTTCAGTTATTTCATAGTTTATGGGACAGGTAGCACCGCTCGTGTCAACTAATCTTTGTTGCACACTGTTTTTTCTCCACTTCATCGCTTGCCTCATGAGGCCTAGCCTTGGTGTCACCAATGTCTGGGACGCCATCGCAGATTTTTCCCACGTGTTGCTTGTCCGCAGAAACAATGCCGGGATAGCTGTTGAGTGTCGCCTTGTTACAACTGTGAATTTCAAAAGGCCAAAGGATCAATTTCTTAATTTTTATTAAATTTACGAGATAATTCGGGCGTCATAATCTCTGCTCTACATTGAGTTTCAACTGTGCTTGATTCATGCAACCGCGTGCATGACCATATTGATGGTGGACTATGAGCATTGTACACTCCGACATTTTTTTATTGCGATAGTAATTATATGAACACTCTCGGCTGCATCTTGCCGTCGGAGTCGATGTCATGCACCGTATATGTATACGTATGTATATATATATATATATATATATATATATATATATATATATATATGAAAACGCAAGAAAGAAAAAAAATCCAGAAAAAAGCACTCCGGTGCGCGCAATTAGACGTGGGACTTCTGCGTCGTGAAAGCGAGGCGTTAGCCACTGAGCCACCCCGGAGAACGTTTTTCACCGGTCAAACGGCAAGCAATTTATATCTACCACTTACCACTGCTGTGTCTTCGGCATTACCAGAAATATGGCACAATGAGCGCATGTTGCCACATCACGCAGCGGCGTCCACTCTAATCTCCTACGCATACTTTACCCGGCTTAGAGAAAGGGAGCGACGCTGTCTCGCGGGCCCTGATCTCGCGGTGGCGAGGAGGGGTTGATCGTACGCCTTGGCTAGCCTCGGGCTTTACGTGGAACGAATCTACTGTAGTTACCAGGCGCAAAATGGTCACTGCAATTATTGCAGTCTCCGTTTGCGAAAAGCGCGCGCTTTTCAGACTCAGTGAAGTAACAAATGAGACGCTTATTCGCGTGCATCTGTACCTGTGAGTACGTTTCGTGCGTAATTTGTGTACTAGGAACGCGGGGCACGTTTCGATGTGCTTTCTATTCTGCGCGCGACCTTTGAAATTGTTGTTATCGCGTTCATTGTTTTGCCTTTGCGGCAAAGTTGTGGCTTTTTTATGTAGCAGTGACAGAGAACAGCATCGCTACCATAGACGTATCCAGGGTTCCCCTTCAGGGGGGTGCGGAGCAGGGGCGGCGCCAGGATGTTTTTACTGGGGGGGGGGGCAACCACGAAAAGTGAGTTCCTCCGGGGGGGGGGGGCAAGCTAGCTCTGCTCCTACTAGGTTTTCAATATATGCTTCCGGGAACTTGGGTGGGCATAGGGGGGGGCAGGCGAGAATTTTGGGGGGGCTCCAGCCCACCCTTGCCCCCCCCCTGGTGCGGAGGTTCGTCGCAGCGCCCCCCCCCCTCTATTATGCCAATGTATAGGGCTGGCTTTGCGCCCTACTCTTAGGTGATCACGGGGGCGGCGCCACTCCCCTGCCCCCTTCGTGTGCACATCTATGGTCGCCACAATTCATTGTGCCCCATCTGACAATTAAAATCGTTAGAAGAACAATGCGACACACTGAGTTGCACGTCTGCATATCAACGCGAAACTCACAACACCTGAAATAACATGTTCGTGCTTGTATACATTGCTCTTCAATTTGCCAAGTCCCCTGATTGATATGTGGGGTTTAACGTCCCCAAACCACCATATGATTATGAGAGACGCCGTAGTGGAGGGCTCCGGAAATTTCGACCACCTGGGGTTCTTTAACGTGCACGTTGCTAAGTCCCCTGTATATAGCGAAAATTCATGAGGAAAATGAGACAGATAATAGCACAAATAGGTATGCTGCTACTATCACAGTACAGGAATCGTTCTTCGGTGGCTTATTTTATTTCGAACTATATCTGTACTTAAGTGTAAACATTTGTTCATGCGATGCACTGTTGATGTCTGCGCAATAATATATATCATGACAAAAGTTTGCTTTCTTTCTTCCTTTCAGATGGCAACGTTTTCGTCTATACAAGGCGCGAACCTGTCGGAGTCATCGGGCAAATTATTCCGGTAAGAGCAATCATTCAGAGGTTTGCGCCAGATTGAGCATTGCGATGACAGCTACAATGCCACTGTCACGCCCTGTGGCTGGGAGGCTGCGGCTATCGGGTTGATTTCGGGGAACGAAGTGAAGTCGCCGAAAAACAGACTGATCACAAACTGCAGTCGACTAACTTGCCTGGGGCAGTAAAAACTGTTCTTCAAAGCGATTAGAAACTTTTTTTTACATTGTACGATAAACGTTGAAAGCAGGGATCATCACACCCGAGTTATATTTGAAATGTTGTCAAAATATAAAAAGTGTTACTTCGGTGTTTCGAAATTCACAACTGTAACGTAGCGACACCTGACATTGAAGAAAGGATAATTCTGAAAGGTCTCAAAATTACAGCCATGTGTTTGCTGCGCCATACCTCTTAACTTATTGACAAAATGAAACAGTATTTTTTTCATATAGTACCCCTTTAGAACATAATGCACGGCTGCGGTAAAATAAAACAACTAAGAAGAGATGTTTGGGAAGTAAAAACAGCGCAAAAATATAGACAAGGACAGAGGAAGAGATTACACCGCGCTGATTTCAGCATGGCGTCGTCTCTTCCTCTGTCCTTGTCTATATTTTTGCGCTGTTTTTACTTCCCAAGTATGAACCAGCAACTAGCCCAACTTTCGCTATTATTGAAGAAGAGATGTAGTAGACGGGTCGAGCGCAAACTTCCAACTGCATTACGGAATGGCAAAAGCAAGCTACTAGCATAACTCGTATACGTGCTCTCGTTACACCTTCATAATGACACTCGTATCAGTGACAGACCACCTTAGGGCTATCTTTCCTTCCAACAGCCTGTCAGCAGTAGCCTACAGATTTAGAATAAGGTCATGCGTGTTAGACGTACAGTTTAAGAACAAGCAAGGCTTGACAGTCAACTTTTTTGAAGCAAGACTTGGTTCCCACATAACGGCGCCCATTCCAAGCTGACCTAAAGAGCCATTGCGGCGCTTTGCTGCTGTTCAGCACTAGAAAAATGATGCCAATGCAGAGTCCAAGAAAGCATTGTATATCAAGTCGAATGCATGAGCAAAGTTGGCTATCCTTCAGAAATTACTTTGTGGCAATTGCTTTGAGCGTGTGTTCCAAAACGTGAAAGCACAAAACAAAACACAAAACCAGTCTACAGTAGTCAAACAGCCAATTCACGTAATCTCCTACTTCCACTGTTTATCGCACAATGTAAAAAAAGCTTTCGAATCGGTTTGAAGTAAGGATGGTTTTATCACCCTGGCCATGCAAAGTGGCCAAAGTATGTGCAATGGTGAAACAAAAAACAAAAAAACGCCCCATCAATGTTTCCACTGAATGGTGTAGTATTGTGAGGCTCGGAGCAAAAGGCTGAAGACACGCAGGCACTGTAATTACATATTTAATGAAGGCTAGACTTAAAAGACACTGCGGTCAAACAGGGCGACGCTCGCACAGCACAACTAAGTATCGCATCACGCTAGCAATGCGGGCAACGCGTGAAGTCTTAAGTCTCTGGCTAGCGTATCGCACTGGGCGCGGTCTCGCGAGGCGAGGAGGAATGGCAGGCGAAGTGGCTGCGGCTGCTGCCATTTGTCAGGACGCACAAGAGATGGGCACTGCGGAATGGCTGACACCTCACATCGCCCCCCTTCCTCCTCTTGACGACCAAGTCCTGTGGTCTCGATGTTTAACACGAGAAAGTCTTGAAAGTAGCACAGAACTGGAGCTGGCGACGTTGGTGTAGCTGCCGTAACTCAACGAACCACTAAGGTGAAGAGAGTGTTTTGGCTTACAACCTTTAAATGTCTTCGTGGCGCTAGCAGCCTGAGACTTGGCAATCTTCTTTGGAGGCTGGTCGTCTTCACATTCTGGAGATGAGTCGCTGTCGTCCTGCTGGGGTTTGGCAGGAGTCGCTTTTGGTAAGGCGATAAGCAGAGTGGCAGCATTTTTGGTGTCAGCACCGTCTTCTTTGGCTCAGATTCATCCGAACTGCCAGAGCTTGACTAAGCCCGTTTGGCAGCAGCCTTCTCGGTCCTTGCGGTTGCTTGTGTCTTGGCCGGTGGCGGATTCGATGCGTTATACTCGGAAGAGTCGGAAGAGCTGTCGTGTTGTTTCTTCAATTGCTGGGGCTTTTTGGCGCTTGCCTTAAGCACAGGCTTTTTACTCGACGGTGCCACGGCTTCGGCGTGTGAGCTGTAGGACAAGTCGGTAGCATGCTTCGCTCGCTTTCGTGGGGCTCTTAATTGGACAACTCTCTGTTCCGATGTAGCAGCTGGTGGTGTCTTTCCATTCGGTGCTTCGTCTTCAAAGGAATTGGAATGCAGATCAAAGTCCTTGAAGGGCGGTGCTGACGCTGTGGGCTTAGGCTTCCGATGCGAATTTGGCGTTTCGGCATTTATCTTGGTGGTGATGTGGCCATTCGGCGTTGGGTTGACCTGCAGCTTAGTTGGCTTGGTCTCTTCTTTGGTGCTTGTTTATAAGGAACCAGTGCTGGAATTTCCACGACCACCTTGGCAATGAGAGTGCGCACTTCTCAGCTGCTCACAGACGAGAGTGACGGCTGGTGGGGGCAATGCGTGCGCGCATCGCCGTAACAAAACCAAAGGGCACTGGCGATACTGCTACGTATATAAGTGCAACAATGTATAAAAAGAAGGAGGAAGTATAGAGCAAAGGGAGGGCGTAGAAAGAGGAGGTGGCGTTGCATTCAAGCGCTCAGGCGAGGAAAAGTCTGTTCTCGCTCTCCTGCCTAGTGCTGTCGGGCTCGTTTCTGAACCGAATGGCACTTGTCTGCTATATTTATTCGATAGTGAAAACAGCCACCTGGGCTGCTGACCGGCATGTCGCGAGATCGAATCCCGGCGGCGGTGACTGTATTTCCAATGGAGGCGGAAATGTAGGCCCGTGGTTTTCAGACTTAGGGGCACATAAAGAACCCCAGGTGGTCGAAATTTCCAGAGCCCTCCACTACGGTGTCTCATAATCATATGGTGGTTTTAGGACGTCAAACCCCACATATCAATCAATCAATCATCAATCAAGACAGCCACCAGTGGAAACCAGGGCCAACCAGTCGAGTTTAAATGGTATTTTGCCGGAAATAAAACGAGCATATTATGCATTATACGGCATATGTAAACTTTTATTTTATCTGGCCTGCTGAGCATTGAGTCGTTCACTTCAGGACTAACAAAGTTTTCATGCGTCCATTCATCTGAACACCACCACCAAACTCCGTCTGATGCCAGTGCGTGAAGTAAATGATATGATAGGCAGGAAATCTTTTTTTTTTTTGTAAACAGTTGTGTGTAAAGAAAAGCTGCCTTGTCTACTAGACTTGTGTAAGGCTACGTTAACCTACGCGTCTGAGCTGTTATAAAAGATATTCTCACGGTGAACACTCGATGCTGACATATCTCTGTTTAACTTAATTTGTGCGGAAGACAGGGCTCTTGTTAAGAACAAAGTAGCGGACTACTCGAATCTTAGCTTTCTGTAGTCGGCCGATGCGTTGAGCGTCTTTCTTACTGGCTGCCATGTCTAAGTATAACCTTGGAATTTATGCCTTGCTAGGAAAGTGTCAAATGTCTTCGATTTTTACTCGTTGTTTAGTTCGCCTAACACACAGCTTCAGTTTTTCCGCTTGCTTGTGTCGGCCTAAAATGAAGGTGTTTGTTCAACATCGATAATTGCTAGGCTTCCATGTGCCAAACAAGATATAATTTTGAGGTACGCTGTAGTGTGCGTATCAAGATTGTGACCGCTTGGGGTTCTATATATCTTGGTTCACGGGTGTTCTTTTTATATTTCACCCACGTCGAAGAGCGGCCGCAGTGTTCGCTAATCTATCCCGCGCCCTCAAGAATAACAGTGGGACACCACACGTGCAATGCTGCCACGGTGGTTTGCTTGATCAACGACCTCGTGCATACCGCAGACAGGGCGTACAAATGATGCTAGGAAAAAAAAAAGTTACGCAGCTACCACTTACGCTACTTTTGTTTTTGTTTCGTTTTACTGCAGATGTTGGCAGCGTGTTATCGTCGCATCATGGGCTTATCGATGGGGGCATGTCGGCCTGCACTAGTTTTAGCCCAAAACCCAGCACGCAACAAGAAAATGAGGACGAGGGAGCTGCCATCACGGCACAGCACTGGCCCTTCGATACCATATATATAGACGCTGTCTGCTTTGCAGGGCTTCTTTCCGTTTTTTCAGTGCTTTTTATGCAAGGGTAGCTTTTGGACAAAGTTATTTTTCCAAACCACAGTGCACTATTACTGGCGTAATGGCTTTTCTAGCTGTTCATTCCAAAAAAAAAAAAATGGTTCCAAATCTGCACGTTACTCCGCAAGTGTAGTCGAAAGACGATAGTTTTGCATCTGGAGAGAGTGAACAAAACGTTTATTTGATGACGATAGTTATAGCGCGAGAACAAAACGACGACAGAGAGACAAGAAGGACACGAAAGACACGAGCGCTAACTTCCAACTGAGTTTATTGCGCAGAGCACGAAAATATATAGAGGAGACAGTAACCATGTGATAAAAACCATATGGCACAAATAGCAGAACATGAGTAAGAGAAAAACAAAGACAAAAACAAAAGCACAGAAAGACGGCAAAGAAAATCTATAAGAAAACGAAACAGAAAAGTTAAGATAATATAACTACTTGCCCGCATCGAAACCTTCGGGGAACTTGAGTTCTTTCTCGGACAGAGCCACGGAGGGCTTGCTAATACAAGGCACCTGTTCGCGTGCCATCTGCGCGACCTCTACAATGACTCGGGTGCGCTCATCTCTGTGCTTGTACAGTGTCGCTGTGTCCTTGAAACGGGGAACACAATTTCACTCAGTGCAGTCAGTGCTGAGAAAGAAAACCATCTTTGCCGTTTCTAACATTGTTAGCGTGTTCTCTCAGCCGATCGTTCAGACACCTTCCCGTCGTTCCGACATAATAAGCACAGCATGAAAGAGGGGTCTTAG